ATGCGTTTCAATCAATCTTAACACTCGTGAGCTGCTGTGAGAGATTCTGTAGAGACGAGCTGAGCAAAACTCCCCATTAAAGACCAGAGCATTCAAGGAGGTCGTCCTCCAGGAGTTAAACAGCACAGATGTGAAAATTGGTCATGAACTTGTACACTCCGTGCCAAGAAAGGTCAGGGCAGTGTACTTTTAAGTTCTGGAGGACATACTAAGTACTAGATTATTATACATTTTCTGAATTAAATCTAGGGTGTACTCATTTCTGCAACTCTTCATTTAAACAAAATTGGCTAATTTACTTATCTTACAGAAAATATTGGCATATATTTTGTTGTTTTTATTAAGTATATGTTTACTATGTTTAAATTTTGCCATCTTTCCATGAATTATATTAATTATATTAGTGTTCATTAAGAAAATACATCTTTTATATTTATTCAGAAGGGGTGTACTAATTTATGCTGTACACTGTATATATTTTCCCTGTGTTTCATTCATGCTGTGTGAGCTACTGAAATGAGCGGCACTGTGAAACAGCCAATCAGAGCAGAGCTCAACATTATTATTCATGACCCTTCCAAATAAGGTAAAAACAGACCATTTCATTCTAGGATCAAATCCTAGGGCTGTAAATGGACATGTAAAACCGTTTCTGGAGATTTTTTGCCCCTACCTAAGCCACATACCTTCTATGTAGATATCAGAGAATCAATGCATTCTATGGCACCTTTAAAACTTGAGTAATGTTGTTCCTGTCTGGTTATAGCCACAATATCAGTCTAAATTTAAAGCCTTGTTTTGGCTGGTTTCATTGTCAAGTGTTACATTTTGGTCTGCATCTGAAATGGCAAATCTTTGAACAGTATATTTTAGTAAAGACCATTGTGTGAATGGTTGTTTTTAAATTATAATAATCAAAAGTTACATTACACAAATTATGATTCAAGAAGCTTTTTGGCATGGTAAAAGAAAGCATTACATTGCTAAAGCATTACTAGCAATGTGCTATCACAAAAAAATGTGTTATTACAGTATTGGTCAAAAACCTTTTTTTTTAAAATGTTTTCTAAGGAAGTCTCTTATGCGCACCAAGGCAAAACGGTAATATTGTGACATTTCAATTTAAAACAACTGTTTTTCTATTTTAATGTATTTTGAAATGTAATTTATTCCTATGATGGCAAAGCTGAATTTTCAGCAACCATTACTCCAGTCTTCAGTGTCACATGATCCTTTATCTAATATGCTAATTTGGTGATTAGGAAACATTTCTAATTATCAGTGTTGAAAACAGTTGCTTAGTATTTGTAACAACGTAAAGTGTGTCACTTTTGATCAATTTAATACGTCATTACAATATAAAAGTATTTCCTAATAAAAAATCTTACTTTAGTGTATATGTAATTATATTTAATTATATGTCATTATATTTACTAGCAAAGTCCTATACTGTTTACCTGAATTGATTATATAATGAAGGGAAAGTTTATGGTCGAGTATTTAGTTCCAGTCACTTTATGAATAACACTAAAGGGCCTTTCGCACCGCGGGAACCTTTTCATAGTACCTGAACTAATTGTGGAACTACCCACTTTTTGGCGTGTTCGCACCACAGGAACTAGGAATGGTTTTAGTTCTAGCAACTCCGTTTGGAGGAACTAAATTAGCTCCTACTTCAGAGCAGGGTCTAAAACCGTTCTATAGGAACTATCAGTGACGTAAGTGTACACTGATTGGCCAAACGCACGCGAAACACCGGCCACCCGGCATTTTTAAAAAGCCATGTAAACATATTTACTCCACGAACATGGAAAACAGCAATAATGGCATTTACCTGTTGTCGCAGTGTTGTGTTCTTTTCTCAGCTTCGATGATATGAAACACTGCAAGTTGTCATAAAAAAATTTGTCTCTTAGTCCAACTTTTTTCTCTTGCAATCGCGTAAATTGTGCGTTTACATCTCCATTTCCGTTATAAAAAGACATTGCTGTCGGCCGCTTCAGAGTTCCTGCTGCCGGTGCGAATGCAACCAGGAAAATGGCCCGAGGGAGAAATTGGTTCTCTAGGAACTACCCTGCTGGCTAGTTCCTAGAACTACGCGGTGCGAAAGCCCCTTAAAACAAAATTATCATTCCTAAAGTGCTGCTGTTCACAAGCAATCCATAAATGCAGTATATTCAAGCATTTAAACAATGTTATATTTATTCTCACAAATGAATAAAAAGTGTCACTCAAGTTGCTTACTCCCTACATTAATGGCTACTTTTTCATATTCACTGTTGCTTTGTAAAAGTCCCAACATGCAAAAAGGTGGAGTTTGTGTTGGAGCTTTGGTTGTAGGAAGGTTGGATTTGTGTTGCAGCAATGTTCTGAAGATTGATGGGTCCACTTCCTCCTCTGACCTCTGAGCTAATGACATGAAAGGAAATGACATCACTGCGAAGCTCTGGTTCAGTATGTATACTCCAATCGTATTTTGCCGTCTCTGTTCCCTGTGCTGTTGCATGACATCAGTTCTACCTCCACTGTTTGGTAAAGCCAACCTGCATAAATCTGTCTGTTAATAACGAACACCTACGAATTCGGATCCACATATCAAACCATAAATATCACCAGATCTGTCTCCTGAAACTCAAATGTGAGCCCATCTCTGGATTTTGCTTGAGGTGCTTTCAGTCCACCTGAACTTTCCGAACGGCCTCAGATAATGTGCTTTAAAATCTCCCTCGTCTTTGTGATACAAGTGCAATGTTCAGTAAACATGTTGGACTTTACCAGCGTGTTTCCAAGTCCCTGTGTGCCTGCAAATAATTTGAAAGCCACCTCATGATGAAATTATCCAATCTCAAGTGCAAAACCCGAATCAGCCTACTGGTTTCACTCGTAGCCTCACTGAC